CATTGTCATTATATTTTGCCATTGCTATCGTCATCGTGCTAGGGGATCGACGTCTCCATTGGTATCTTTATTATCATGATCAGCATTATCATCAAACATCAAACCATCATTATAATCGTCATCCTTATAATTATATTTATAATCATTATTATCACCACCATCATTATCATTATCTTCTTCATCATCATCATCATCCTCATCGTCATTATCATCATCATCACCATCATCATCCTTTTCGTCATACTTATCATCGATACCATTCAACGCCATCATCAATCATCAGGTAAACTTTCAACATTCAAAAGGACGTGACGTTAATGTTATCGTATAATCATATGAAGGTAGTCTAATTCACATAGCAATTTTTGCCTGTGCGGAAAAAAAAGTTAATTATATTCTGTTCATATCCGGCAATTTGTTTTAATCAAGAGTATTAATCAACATAGATGCGTGTACCCCTATCCAATTATTATAATTTTATGAAAGGTGACACACGATAGGATCAATGTTGTAGTTTTGGATATTAGATAAAATTATTATATTATATTTTCAAAATACACACTAGCACTATTTTCTGATGGTATGATCATCGTTATCATGACAATTATCATAAACAACAATTATTATTATTATTATTATTATTATTATTATTATTATTATCATCATTATTATTATTATTATTATTATTATTATTATTATTATTATAATCATCATCATTATTGTTATTACTACAGTTTTCAATTTCAAATTGTCACAATCATACACTAACTTAATTACATTAAAAGTGTAAACAGGATAAAAAATATAGTACCGGTACTAGTTAAACAATACAGTAAGTCTAGTAAATAATATGCAATAAGTTTCAGAAGTTGTATCGTGTGTTTTGTAAATAAATTATAACACACTTTCTTTTCTGACCTTGCTTTCGGAAATGGAAGTACTTAAAAGAACGAGCATGAACAGATGATAAAACAAATCAAGAAATATATTTTTTAAATGGCATGCCAATAAATAACTGACGTGAGCGAAGGAGTTAAGACAGCACCACAAGAAATGGAATTTCAATTAAAACAACTTCAACATCCATGAATACTAATCGCGTGATGGGCTAATAGCAAACGATAGGACGGCAATAGAAATTACTATGTGTTTCTTATTTACAAATAATAATAATAATAATAATAATAATAATAATAATAATAATAATAATAATAATAATAATAATATAATAATAATAATAATAATAATAATAATATAATATTATTATTATTATTATTATTATTAATATTAATAATAATAATCAGTCTATCCGTGGAAGAAATATTCCTCCATGGTCTATCTACCTTCCGTACATTTCGTAGGTTGAGTACGAAAATTGTTTACGCCTTTTATAGCGTTCAACCTACATTGTAACAAGTTTCAAACGCTTCAGAAAACGCACTTTGCGTTAATATGCAAGTTTTTAGCCGTTTATTAATATTAAAAATGTATAGAATGACGTAATTTTATACACATTTTTGATATGATCTATGGTTGGACAAAATTTGAAGAGATTCAAGCACGGAAAGTGACCAAAAAATTCTGTACAGAAACATAAGAAACTGCATAGGAGAAAAAAAAATAACAATAGTTTATCTTCTGAAGCCAATGAGAACAGGAAACACATGAAATAAATCATACCAACATGTCCAAACATTGCTAAAAGTTAATTAAAAGTAAATTACGAATGTCAATTATAAACAACTAAAATAGTCTCTATTTATTTGATTGTAACTATGAATAATGCAGCCATTTTAATTGTTTGGACCTACAGATATAATGAATATATAAGCCTATGACAACATACATAATATAAAGTACTAGGATAAAGTAATAGGATATGTATTAAAAATACATACAAGATACCAACTGGTCATTCTATGATTTAAAAAATTCTTGAAGAAACACACGTTTTTTTTTTTTCAATTAGCATTTGGATTCCAAACGATATGGGATTTTTTAAAATTCTCTTACGTTACGGTATAACTGATTTGGTAGGACTGAAGATTTTAATAAAATACCAAAATTCATAAGACAATTAGGAACAAAATGCTTTTTAGTTTTATTCTACTGTATTTTATCGTGCTCATTAATTTATTGATGTAACTTATTTTACAAACTTAGTTAATTTAAGCATTTTCTAATAATCAATAACCCAACGTATTACCACAGGTCTAGTATTAACCATCTCCATCAGTGATAATCAAGAAAACATTAGGGGTTTAACATAGTAGCGGGTAGGCCTCCTATGCATATTGTTTCCAAGGGATTCGAACCAAAGACTGTCATATTACAGTTCGGTTGCTGTATCAACTGAGCTCTGAAGCCAATGTGGCTGGTATATCCATTAAACAATATCAATATTAAATGTGTTAATGCGAAGCATCTCTATCAGTGATGTATGAAGACGTTAAATAGATTTTTAGAAGAAAAAAAAACTCATTGTCTCTATTATTGAAATTCGACCCCACGAACTTCAGATTAATGTAATGGTCGCGAGAATTTTATAGCAATGATACAGCAAACTTGTCTCATAAATAATCCGGCAAAACTATTTCTGTACGTGAACATAACCCTCAATTAAACAATAACAGAACACATTAAACTAAAACACACCAACAATGGATATGTTTTTTTCTACCCTTACAGCTATATGTAAACTAAATCAAATCAGTATTTATAATGCGCAATGTTAATAATGTAAGCGCTGCAGATGATCAATTGTCAAACAAACAAGAAAAGATATTTAGAATAAATGATGGACGCGGGGTAATATCAGACCTCATCACAAAGTGATTAGACAGTCATGTTGCCTAACAATCCCCATATTGAATGTGACAAATCTGAAGAATGTCCAAGAAGAAAGACAGGAAAATATACACTTGATTTTATAGTTCTGCATGAAATGCAATTGATCAACAGTATTTGATACGAGGCATGCATACCATAAAATGCTTGGTTATATAATTTTAAAGATTATCGAAAAAGCAAAAAATATGAAAAAGTAACCGCATTGCGTTTTTTTGTTTTTTTAATGTTTTGATGGCTTTTTCCTCCATCGAGGTATTTATTGTAGACCTCCATCTTGCTCTATTATTATTTCAACAATTAACGTAATAATTTTGATGCAATGTATTCATGAATTAAGGAGGAGAGATATGGGAGGGAGAGAAACAAGAAGAGTAGAAGTGAGAAGAAAAGGTTAATAATTTGAGATGAAACGGGAAACCCAATGACGTAACAGTTGCAGTACCTGCTACCACAAAACCATCTCCCATCTCCGATTCCTTCAGGTGAAAGTGGTATTACACTTTATCTATAGCTACCATCTAATGGGTAATGTTGATACGATATTATAAAATTGATTTGGTGAATCAGAATATTACAAATAATACTGAATAATAATACAACTAATAATAATTATTAATAATAACATCTATAATTGGAAAATAATAACAAAATATAAAATATAATAACATTATTATTGATAACTGAAAAATAATTAATTAAAATAATACTATGTCTATTAATCAATAATAGTAATAATGGCACTAATTTTGTCAATAACAACAATAAAAACAATGATGATGATGATATAAATAATAATAATAATAATAATAATAATAATAATGATGATTATTATTTTTATTATTATTATTATTAGGCCCATTATATATTGTGATAAAACGCATACAAATCATTATCAATAACTGACACCCAAAGTACTGTTTATAGAAACATCGTGAAGCGATCCAGTTCACAATAAGGCTAAGAATAAAGAAAATGTCACTTTACTGTCAGAGGCCTAATTAAGGAAACATTTACATATCATGGTATATATCAATGTCTAATTTTAATTATTTCATTCAATGATTGACACGCACGTCGCTTCCTGCCATTATCTTCGTTGTTTACCTTCCATGTTTAACATCGCTGCTAATCTCGTATGTTTAAAAAAACTGTCAAAACTACCACTTACCCTCTTTGTCTAAAGTTTCTGCTTCTAAGCCGGAGCTGACACAAGACTCAGGTAGAGTTGGCTTCACGTATGGCCTGTCTGACCCTGGTTTTCGGCGGATATCAGCGGAATCGTTCGACGATGGAATACACAATAAATGATCGTAACGAAGGGGCCGAAAGCCAAATTCTCTGGAACCTTGCAACCTCAAATGCCTGGCGTTGTATCGCACGGAAGCTGAATCCATTGTAAAAGTTGATGCACCGCCCGGAGACTCCTTTTGCGCTAGGGATAAACGCATAGGTTTAGTTATGGATCGGAACGGTAAAATGACAGTGCTTGCAGGGAAATCGCTTAAGAATTGTTTCTTGATCGCTCAATCAACAATATTATAATATAAAGCGAGTGTGTAAATGTTAATAGGCGGATAATCATAGCGGATTCCATTCAGTATACGGGCAAACCATATGTTCGCATACTGTACATGAAATGAGTAATGTACTACAAAACCTCAACTAACCAAGTTAAGGATTTCTGGGGATAATGGCGGTGGCATGGGTGACTTCACATCGACAGCAAGTCAAATTAAGTGTATAAAAACTGAAGCAATCGTACAAGCACATTACAATTCAATCGCTGACAGTTTAGTATCTTCACACATCGATCATCTCTTCTGTCATTACTTATAGGACTAATGTTAATTGTAAATATTTGGCCTCTGGATCAAGTGCCTGAAAAACATTATGAATAGACCTACAGAACAGATAAATCTATAAATTATCTTTTTTTAAAGTTGAGTTGACCTCATCGTGTATAAACAATGCGTGGAAATAAAAAGCATGCCTAGTAATTAGTAAAATAACTCAGTAAAAACACTCAGAGTATATAT